ATCTCTTCGTGGGTCTGTAAGAACTTGCTTTCTGAAGCTGGGTGCTCCTGTATTGGGTGCATATATATTTAGGGTAGTTATCACTTGTTGAATTGAGCCCTTCACCATTATGTAATGCTCTTCTTTGTCTTTCTTTTATCTTTGTTGGTTTAAAGTCTGCTTTTTAGAAACTAGGGTTGCTACTCCTGCTTTTTACTGTTTTCCATTTCCTTGGTAAATTTTCCCTTATCCCTTTATTTTGAGCCTATGTGTGTCTTTGCACGTGAGATGGGGCTCTTGAAGACAGTATACTGATGAGGCTTGACTCTTTATCCAGCTTGTTATTCTGTGTCTTTTAATTCGGGCATTTAGCCCGTTTATATTTAAGGTTAGTATTGTTATGTGTAAATTGTATCCTGACATCATGATGCTAGCTAGTTATTTTGCAGACTTGTTTTTGTGGTTGCTTCATAGTGTCACTAGTCTGTGTACATCAGTGTGTTTTGTAGTGGCTGCTGATGGTTTCTTCTTTTAATATTTAGTGCTTCCTTCAGGAGCTCTTGCAAGGCAGATCTGGTGAGGATGAATTCCCTGAGCATTTGCTTTTCTGAAAAGGATCTTCTTTCTCCTTTGCTTATGATAAGCTTAGTTTGGCCAGATATGAAATTCTGGACTGAAAATTCTTTTCTTTAAGAAGTTGAATATTGGCCCCCAATCTCTTCTGGCTTGCAGGGTTTCCAATGAGAGGTTCACTATTAGTCTCATGGGTTTTACCTTATAGGTGACCTAGGTTTTCTCTCTGGTTGCCTTTAACATTTTTTCTTTCATTTTGACCATGGAGAATCTCATGATTATGTATCTCAGAGTTGATCTCATGGAATATCTTACTGGGGTTCTCTGCGTTTTCTGAATTTGAATGTTAGCCTGTCTTGCTAGGTTGGGGAAGTTCTCCTGGATGATATACTGAAGTACGTTTTCCAACTTGGTTCCATTCTTCCCATCTGTTTCAGGTACCGCATTCAGTCGTAGGTTTGTTCTCTTTCCATAATCCCATAATTCTCAGAGGTTTTGTTCATTCCTTATTCTTTTTTCATTATTATTTTCTACCTCTCTTATTTCAGAAAGATAGTCTTCAGGCTCTGAGATTCTTTCCTCCCCTTGGTCTATTCTGCTGTTGATACTTGTGATTGCATTGTGAATTTCTCTTGTTGTATTTTTCAGCTCCATTAGGTCAGTTATGTTCCTCTCTAAATTGGTTATTCTGGCTATCAGCTCCTGCATTGTGTTATTATTATTTTAGCTTCTTTATATTGGGTTAGCACATACTCCTTTAACTCAGCAAAGTTAGTTATTACCCACCTTCTGAAGCCTTATTTCTGCCAATTCATCCATCTCAGCCTCAGCCTAGTTCTGTTGAAATCGTTTGAAGGAGAGGCATGCTGGGTTTTTGAGTTTTCAGTGTTTTTGCATTTATTCCTTCTCATCTTTGTGGGTTTATCTACCTTTGATCTTTGAGGTTGCTGACCTTTGAGTGGGGTTTTTGTGGGGTCTTTTTTGGTTGATGTTGTTGTTGTCTGTTTTTTTGTTTGTTTTGTTTTGTTTTAAGACAGAGTCTTCCTCTGACACCCAGGCTGGAGTGCAGTGGCACAATCTCAGCTCACTGCAACCTCCATCTCTCAGGTGGAAGTCATTCTCCTGCCTCAGCCTCCTGAGTAGCTGAGGTTACAGGCATGCACCACTACACCCAGCTAATTTTTACATTTTTAGTAGAGACAGCATTTCACCATGTTGGCCAGGCTGGTCTTGAACTCCTGACCTGAGGCGATCCACCCACCTCAGCCTCCCAGAGTGCTGGGATTACAGGCATGAGCCACTGCCTAGCCTCTGTTTGTCTTTCTTTTAACAGGCCACTCTACCATAGGGCTGCTGTGGAGGCTAGGGCCCCCCAGTGGAAGATGTCACCCAGTCAGGAGAAAGACGATCAGGAACCCATCCAGTGAAGCAGTCTGGTTGCTTCTTGGTAGAGCAGGCATGTTTCACTGCGGGGGGACACCCTTCTTTGTAGACCGTCTGTATTTTCCGCAGCCAGCCGGGTAGAATGGCTGAGTTTAGGGAACTTCAGAGATAGCTCCTCACCCAGGGATCTCCCTCCCAGGAAGAGATCTCTGTCCACAGAACTGAAGACCCCTCCTAGTGAGGAGGAGTGAGTCGGGCCCCAGTTAAAGATGCAGTCTGGCCATTAGCTGGCAAGGCAGCTGCACTGCACTGTGGGAGGGCCCCTCTTCATCTCCACAGCTGAGACTAAGGGAACTGCGGATACGGCAGCCGCCCCTCCCCTGGGAGTTCTCTGCTAGGGAGAGATCAGAGCTCTGTCCGTGGACCCAAGGACCTGCCCATTGAGGAGTAGTATGTCAGGGCCCTAGTTAAAGAAGCAGTCTGGCCCCAATCTGGCAAGGCCACAGCATTGCACTGTGGGGGGCCCCTCCTTGTCTGGACCATCTGCACTCTTCACAGCCTGCAAACTGGAACAGCTGTTTCCCCCAAACCGCAGAGATGGCAGCCGCTCTCCCCAACGGATCTCTGTCCTGTCCCTGGTGGACTTCAGCCCTCTGCCATTGGCTGACTGGGATTCCAAGCCAGTGGGTCTTAACCTGTGAGATGCTGTGGAAGTGAGGCCTACAGAAGGACGCTGCTTGGTGCCCTATATTCAGCCCACTTCCTATGGATGTGTATGGGCAGATTTTCCATCTTGGTGGGGATCCTGGGGCTGGAGCATGCAAAACTCCTGGGTCTCTGTGTGCACCTGAGTGGCTGTTTTGCAGACCATACAGCTCTGTGTACTGGACCCACAGCCCTGGTGGCATGGGCTTAGGAGGGGATCTCCTGCTCCACAAGTTGCAAAGATTCGTGGGAGAAGCATGGTTTCCCAGGTGGGGTTTCACAATCATTCACTTCCTTCCCTGGCTGGGGCTGGAGGGTTCCTTTGGCTCCATGCTGTTTACTGTTGGGCTGTTGTCCCCCCCTCCCCAACCCCACTGTTTCTCCTCACTCTCCTTGAATCCGAGCTGCTTGCCTATTCATTCCCAATGCGAGAACCCGGATATTTCAGTTAAAGGTGTTGAATTCACTCGCCCCTTTTCATTCTTCTCCAGGAGTGTTGTGGACTGCAGCTACTTCTAATCGATCATCTTAGCCCTCCATAATCAAGTATTTTTAAAGCGTACTTGACTTGTAGTTCTCTATTCAATTTAAAATTAACATCATATCCTTTTACTTTGCCTTGACTCACAATTTTCAAGTCTTTGTTAAAATAACTTTGGATTGTGTACGCAAGTTATTATTATCAAATCTTCTTTGTCCCTTTTGTTCTCCACTTGACTGAATATTGAAAATATTCACAGATCTTAAGCTGAGGAACTTACCTAAACTGTTCTTTACAAAGGTGACAAAATTATAATGAATCAATCTGCACACTTCTGTAGTTTAACAGAAATTCAAATAATCAAATCTGCTCTCCTAAGAAAAGATGTTTCTTGGATCCCTCGTCTTCCAAACATGCTTAACATTGATAAGCAGCCTGTATCCTATTTCTAGAAATACTTTATGATAGACTTCAACTTCGATCATTGAATGTTCTTTTGCCAAATTTTTTTTCATGTCTGCCTTACCTACTGCTCCTTTTCCATTCCAGGATGCAATTTACAACTCCCCTTTCTCTTGCACTTCTACATATGTCACATGACTAGGAGTTGCCTCTGAATGGATGTAAAAAGACACCTATGGGGGAATGGGAATAATTAGATGTCTGCATGCACTGGCCACTGAGAGAATTTGAAGATATAGTAATTAAAATTCCTTTATGAATAAACAACAAACAAGATATAGTAATTAAAATTCCTTTATAAATAAATAACAAACAAGAATTAAAAACTGGTTCACAATCTCCCTCACCGGAACCAAGTCCTCCTTTACCCTACACTGATGCAGCCTAGGGAAGGGTCTCCACCTGTTGGATGTTCTCTCCTGAGGCTACAAATCTTGAATAAATGTCTCAAGGACAGCAGTACTGGCATCTGACCAGACTCTGCCATGACATGGCCTTGACTGTGATTCCTCTTGTCTTCCCAGACTCTTGGTCCTGCCCACTTTCTAACCCTCAGTCTCTAGCCTCCTTTTGATCTGCTCATTATGAGCTTGCAACATCCTTTAAGAAAGCCAGTTCATTTCTGTTGCATGTAACCAATAATGCTGTTGATATAACAAGTTTCTCATCCTGAATGCTGCTATCTCAATCTGGAAAAATCTCACTCTATTAACTTTATGCTAATTATTCCCATATTCATATCTTGATAGCTCTTCTTATGTTTCTTGAACACTTCAAATTTAATATATCCGTGAATGAATTCACTGTGCCACCTTGCCTGCAGCATACTTTTCCTGCAATAGGTACTGTTGTAGTGAGTTACTGGAATCACAATTTACCCAATGTAAAGCCCAGAAACCTATAAGCTGTCCTGATGTATCCCCGTCTTTTAACTTCCAGAGTCAATCTGACCTTAATCCAGTAGACTTCTTAAAACAGCTCCATTATGTATGACAAGAGTGAGTGTCAAAAGATGGGCTGAATAAGAGAGGTCTATAAACTTTCTGAAAACTATGACTACAAGCTTACTGTGTTCTAGGTATATTACTTCTGAGTTCAACAGAGAAAAGCAGCACTAATTTCATCTCGGAGTTTTCTACCATTTTTACTGTCCCCACATTATTACTTAAGGTTGCTGGTATAAGATTTAGGAAGATTTCAGAATATAAGATTTAGGAAGTACAAATTGATAAGGCCCCCATAAGCATCAATCAGAATTCAATCTTTAGCCCTCAAATACATACAAATGTGTAAGGTCTCTTACACAAACACTCACATACACACCACATGACTTTATGAAAACATCCATTTTAATTTCAAATAAAATGTATGCTTCAATTATATATACACATATAATAACATTATCTTACTTTTTCAGAGCCAGATCATGTTTTATAATGATTGTATTAAAAGTTTTGTGAGTTCTTATTCAAGAGAAGAATTGGAAAAAGTCCACGCTGGTCTGATATGTCATCTAGAAGAGGTTGCAGAGCTGGTAGTGCTGGATACTAGTAACTCTCGAACAAAAGCTGTACTAGGGGCACTGCTTACCCTTTATGTTCACTGCAGAGATATAGTGATAAATTTACTACTTAAAAATATCTTCAATGCAGAGGATTTTGAGTGGACAAGGTAGGTGGATCTAAATTATAACTACATACAATAACTTCTCACAAATATATCTTTAGGTAAATTGATTCTCTACCTCACACTTTGTCAAACTCGAGTTTTAATTTTGGGGGCTTTACCAAAATTCTAAGCAAACCAATCTGAGTACATTAGTCCCCCTTTATTTGCAGTTTCACTTTCCAGTTTCAGTTACTGTGGTCAATTGTGGCCCAAAAATAAGTGAGTATTTTACAATAAGATATTTAGAGAGGCAGATCACATTCACATGACATGTGAATGTGAGTATATTTTTCTACTGTTCTATTTTATTATGTCATCGTTGTTCATCTCTTACTGTGCCTCATTTATAAATTAAGCTTTATTATAGTTATTTATGTATAGGAAAAGTCATAGTATGGTATATAGAGGGTCTGGAACTATATGTGGTTTGAACTATAGGTATCCTCTGTTTGGGCAGCAGCAGGAGGGGGGTCCTGAAATGTATCCCATGCAGATAAGGGGAGATTACTGTACCCTACTACTGCTTTTCCTTCTTTCTCTTTTCTACTGTCCCTCCACCTAATTTTTACTTCTTTCTTCTTTGTCTTCCCGGCCTGATAGTTACATTCTCCCATTTCCATCTAGACAGAGGGCAGTATCTTTCCATGGGCAGTCAGAGCTCTACCTCAAGCCTCTTCTTTCCACTGTGCTGTTAATTCTGGAACAGACTGAGCGGAAACAAACTGAAGAACATTTCCAGCCAGCTCCCTAACTCAAAACTGCCTTCTTCCTACCTGGAGTCAATTAGTAAAATATGAAAGTATAGAAAAATAGAGCCATTCTCACCTTTGGTGGGAAGAGATTGAGCATCAAACTCCGATAATAAATGTACGGTTAGCATAAATTCTGCAGTTAGCATAAAAGTCCTGATTTTAGATATGACAGTTTCGTTTAAACTCTAGAAAAAGAAGTAGACAGAGGCTTAAGTATATAACTGAGGCCACTGTTGACTATATTTTATCTGAATACTTTATATCTGATATATATTTACATGTTCATTAAAGCATAAATGTATACTTTCTTAATTGCCAAAGAGGATATACTGTGTTAATGAACCATTACTCTGGAAAAAAAGTCTAGTGTGTCATTATTACTTTTTATTAACTCTTTTTAAAAATGAAAATGAAAAAGAGGAAGAGCATATATAGAAAGGTAAACTGGAAAAGAGAAGATCCTGATAAGACTTTGTAAGTGTCTGAGTTTAGGGCTACAGTTCCCAAACTGTGTGTCAAGGTATCCCAAGCCACCATAGACAATTCACAAGGGCACTGCAAGATATTTTAACCTTTTGAGGGAATCACAGCAATGTACAACATCTATCAGACACCAAACATGCTAGCAGCTCAAATAGTTCTATTTTAACATTAGATCATGCTACATACCTTTCAGTGACTTCTTATCCCTGCAAAGCTAGGTTTTGGCAGTTGCTCTCATAAAAAAGCAAGTATCCCATGAAAATCAGTGTAGCAAACGAGATTGGCAGTATCCAGTCTGATCCCAAGGTTTGATAAGTGGTGCAGTACACAATAGGCATATCTAAGTAACTGGTTATTTAAAAACGAAATAAGGCCAGGCGTGGTGGCTCACACCTGTAATCCCAGCACTTTGGGAGGCTGAGGCCGGTGGATCACTTGAAGTCCAGAGTTGGAGACCAGTCTGGCCAACATGGTGAAACCCTGTCTCTACTAAAAATAAAAATTAGCTGAGCGTGATGGTGCACACCTGTAATCCCAACTACTCAAAGGCTAAGGCAGGAGAATCACTTGAACCCAGGAGGTGGAGATTCCAGTGAGCTGAGATCGTGCCACTGCACTCCAACCTGGGTGACAGAGCGAGACTCCATCTCAAATAAATTAATTAATTTAATTTTTAAAACATTTAATGAAATAATTTTTTTTTGTCAATTCATTTGTGTACCTTGTTTCAAGCAACCTACTAAATCATTAGGACAAAAATACTTATTAAACTGTTTTGGACCTAAAATTAAGAAAAGAAACTGTTAGATATTCCTTTTGGTCTAGGGTCATCATGAAAATATTACTGGGTTACTAAGAGTGCAGTGAACTGAGAAAGTTTGAGAAGCTGTGTTCTAAGGGAATACTAATAGAAAGGCAAAGGCTCTGGAAATTGATTTGCTATCAAAATAATGATTTAGCACTTTAGTTGAATCATAAAACAAATACTCGTCTTTAGGATAACAAAATTTCTTCTTTAAAAAACATTTTCTTCCAGAAGTATTATACTTTTCTCTTTCTTATGGATATATGCTCTCCCATCTGAGACTTTGCAAGGTAGTTGCTTGTAATTTTAAATTTTTCTTTTCTTTTTAATTTAAATTTATTTTTAAAATTTACTCACTTTTCCAGATTTCTTTATAATATTCCCTGTTGTTCCAGAAAAGATTTAAAAGGGCTTACAAGGATATGCACACTACTACATGATAGCATACGTTGAGAGTGAGTGGAATGAGTGAAGAAAGGCAAACAAAGGCAAAAACTAGTGCCTGTGTAAGAGCTTTAATGAACAAATTCTGCGAAGATATTGTACCTGCCTCCACTTGTAATTCAAAATCAAAACAGCACTAAACAATTAAAAATGTGTAGGAATGAGTTTTCGCTGACAATGTTTTAATATTTAAAAAAGTAAAATTATTTACAAAATATTGTTTGATAGTTTTTCATTGATAGTGCCCAAATGTGTTTATTTTGAGAATCGAGTTAGCACTAATTGGGATATAAAATAGAGTCAAGAATTCATACCACAAAGGTTTCATACCACAAAGGTTTTGTAACTCAAAACCTTCTAGAGGTGAACATTTATGGTTAGCTACACAATTCACAATTCACAGTGCTCATGATATAAATGCAAATCATTTTCTACAAAGTTCAATTTGTTTTGATATGTAGAACAAATAGCATTTCTCTTAAGTACCCTCATAATAAGGATCCAGATTATGATAAACATCATCTTCAATCACAGTCTTGTTGAAAACCATAATAAACTTCAGAGGGATGATTCTTATATAAATCCCCCATTTGGGTTGACATCACACCAAAGCAGCATAATCAGCAAGGCCATTAGCCTCAGAGGGAAGTGTGTTCACGTGTTTGTATTCTTCAGTTCTATTTCATACCTAATATGATCAGTCATTGATGAGTTTTATATCACACTTCTCATTTGATTTTAATTTTTTTACTTCTATTTGTTTTTTTAATCAATGCTCCATTTTAAATCCTGATTCTGTTTCTGCATGTGAAAAAAATAAAAATAATTTAACCAAATAATATGAACATTTAAAATTTTGTTTTCAGACATTTGCAATATAAATGGAATGAAAAACAAAAATTGTGCTATGTATCTCAAGGAAATGCCAGCTTTACTTATGGCTATGAGTACTTGGGCTGTACCTCAAGATTGGTTATTACACCTCTCACAGACCGATGCTGGCTAACTCTCATGGAAGCACTACACTTGAATCTAGGAGGCTGTCCTGCTGGTCCAGCTGGTACAGGAAAAACTGAGACTGTCAAAGATCTGGCAAAAGTAAGTGGTTTCTCTATCCAGAATAAAAACTTCTTTTTTTCTTTTTCTGTCACACAAATTTTGATGGTATCTTAAATTTACACCATTCCTGCTATTAAGATGTTCATTGCATTAACAAGCACATTCATTAATTCACATATAATTAATTCATCAATGACGTTTTGAATGCCTGTTGTGTGCTGCAGCTTAGAATCTCAATAAGCCAACATGTGCTTTTTATTTAGCTGGAAAACTACTTGTGAATGATTAATATTGTTGTTTTGTGTGTGTGTGTGTGTGTGAGAGAGAGAGAGAGAGACAGAAAGTGAGACTGAGAGGGACAGAGACAGAAAGAGAGAGAGAGAGACAGACAGACAGACAGAGAGATAAAAGCAGTAGTAGTTACTGATGAAAGCAAAGGATATAGTTTGTGACCTAGAATTTTTTCATAGTTTTTTATTCATAGATTTATGTAAAAACATGACCTTAATGCTCTATAAACTAATCAACTGAACTGTAACAGTATATGTACATTTATACTATTATATTGAGTTTTGTGAATCTCTAAATTTGATTTTTAATTCATCTCCATCTTGCAAAAGTTTTCTCAAAACCATAGACATTTTATTACTCCCGCAGTTTTAACATTAGTATTTTGTGTCATAATTCAAGAAAGATATTAAAATATTTTTGTTTCCCAGTCCTTAGGCAAACATTGTGTGGTCTTCAACTGTTTTGAGGATCTGGATTATAAGGTAAAGCTTAAACATGTGTCAGGAAGAAATATTGTACACATAAAACGTAAAACGATTCATTGAAGAATAAAAGAACAAGAAAAAATATTTATCTGAGACAAACATCAAGTATTAACAGAACTTTAAATGCTATTATTTCTTTTAAACTAATGGACTAGAAACCTAGAATATAATAGAAATTTAAAACATTATATACGTTGCTTTTATTCAGGTGAACTACTCCTTAAGACAGTGGTTTTCAAACTTTTCAACAGTTGGATTCTTTTCAATAAAAAAACTTACATGGAACATGAATATATAAAACAATTAAGAGTACTGCTTTATTAACATACATTTATTTTAAGTCCTAACCCCATACATTTATTTACTGAAAAGGTAATTAAGACAAGATTATGATTAACACAAATATTTGAGAGTTTATATAGATGATGATTACAAGTTCCTGTCAGTCTTGTTTTGTTTGCACATTATCTGACATATCTCATAACATTCTGAAATATGTCTCTTACAAATCTACTCAAAGTGTCAAAATACTGCAATTTGTTTTGCGTGTTAAGTTCAAACATTATACATTTTATTGCTGTCATTTTATTTGTGTTTGAAGCACGTTACCTCTGAGATCCTGCATTTCCAATTTGTGCTCATTTAGTACATGAAAAATATCAACATAAATAAGCTGATCAATTATTATTTTTAAGATACTTACCAAATAGACTCTTGCCTCCTTCCTGGAAACTAGCATTGGGGCCTATGAGGGCTCCACATGAGTGAGGCCAAAAAGCCTGCTAATTAAGATAAATAATATTTAATGCAATATTTTAAAAGTCAGAATTAATGCCCCCAAACGTCCCATGAACAAAATACCAAAATTTTAAATTAAGACACGATCTGATTCCTGCTGCTCAGTGGAAGGAACCATCTTCTATATCCTTCTCGGTATGAGGCTCTCTCTTACTCGTTCCCATTCCCACTTCCTTTCCTCTTTGCCATACCTAGCATTAGAGTTCAGGCATCCCTCAACTTGCATTCAGCCCACAGAAGTTAGACCTGTCAATATTTTTGTTTGTTTTGTTGCTTTGTTTTAGTTGCTAACATTTACAAACCAATAGATTTCAATCCCAGACTTTCAGCCTCTCACAGAGCACTGGGTGCACCTGGTCAGCCTGGGCCTGCACTCTGGCAAGTGGCAGAAGCCCAGCAGCAGCTGCGTGTTTTAGCTGGGCCCCCTGCAGTCTTGCCTTATCTGGGCCTGTGGTTCAGTGTTTTGCATTGCCCACCAGCTGCCTGCCACTAAGCCATAAAGCATCTTTGCCTGATCCAGAAAAGGCAGCCCCAGATTCACACACTTTACACCCATCTGCCAGAAAGTTGTTCTGAAGACTCTGCCCCAGGGTGCAGCTCTGTGAGGGAAATGGCTGTCCAGGGGAGGGGTCTGGTGCATCTCTGTACAATCCATAAGAAGCTGTGGCCCTGTCTTCACGGTCCCTGTGAGCATCAGAGTTTGCTCTGCTGAGTGTTTGGGCTTTTAGAAGGGAAAAGCAGAGTAGTTGACTTGTCTAGCATCTAAGCAGCTGCTGCTTTCAACCCTATAAAAATGCCTAGAAGGGGGAAACGCAAAAGGCCTTTACTTGGTTTGGATAGCATGGGGAGAACATGTACAAATTAACATCTCAGTAAATTTTCTCACCATTATAATAATTTTACTAATCAATTTTTTTTTTTTTTTTTTTAAAGATAGTGAGAAAATTCTTCTTTGGACTAGTTCAGTCAGGAGCTTGGAGTTGTTTCGATGAATTCAATCTAATTGATTTGGAAGTTCTCTCTGTCATTGCTTCACAGATCCTAACAATTAAGGCTGCAAAAGACAACTATTCTGCCAGGTACTTGTTGAATGTGTTTATGCCTTTTGAATTGAAATCTGATGCACACTTACTGTTTAGTTAATTATTGTTAAATATTTTTCCCCAATAAGTGTTTAGGTCTTTCAGGCGTGTGTGTGTGTGTGTGTTTTTTTTTTAAAGCACACATCAAAGGGAATGGCAGTTATCTTGAATGTTTCCATTACTTGGCAAATAATGTGAATATATTTATAACTCTAATTTTCAGGCCAACTTAGAGGTATCCAAATTCTTGCCCAAGCTTTGGAACAATCTACTGAGCTACCAGGACACTGATGCAACTATATTTTAATTATTTTTTCAGCTTAAATTCTCATATTATCTTTTTATCTTAGAATATTGCATTTGAAGAACCCAAACAAATTCTGCTTTTTTTAATTTCCACATTTTTTAAACCTTTATTTTAAGTTCAGGGCCACATGTGCAGATTTGTTATATAGGTAAACTGGTATCATGGGGATTTGTTATACAGATTATTTCATCACCCAGGTATGAACTAGTACCCACTAGTAAAGTTTTCTGATTGTCTCCCTCCTCCTACCTTCCACCCTCCAGTAGGCCCCAGTATCAGTTGTTGCTCACTGTAAGTCCATGTGTTCTCATCACTTAGCTCCCACATACAAGTGAGAACATGAGGTATTTGGTTTTCTACTCCTGCATTAATTTGCTTTTGATAATGGCCTCCAGTTCCATCCATGTTCCTGCAAAGGACATGATCTCATTCTTTTTTATGGCTGCATAGTATTCCATGGTATATATATACCACATTTTCTTTATCCAGTCTACCATGGATGGGCATTTGTGTTGAATCCATGTCTTTGCTATTGTGAATAATGCTGCAATGAACATACTCGGGCATGTGTCATTATGATGGAACAATTTGTATTCCTTTGGGTATATAGCCAGTAATGGGATTGCTGGGTCAAATGGTAGTTCTGTTTTTAGGTCTTTGAGGAATCGCCCCACTGTCTCTCACAATAATTGAACTAATTTATACTCCCACCAACAGTGTATAAGTGTTCCTTTTTCTCCACAACCTTGCGAGCACCTGTTATTTTTTGACTTTTTAGTGATAGCCATTCTGACTCGTGTGAGATGGTGTCTCATTTTGGTTTTGGTTTGCTTTTCTCTAATGATCAGTGACATCGAGCTTTTTTTTGTTTGTTTTTTGACGGAGTCTCACTCTGTTGCCCAGGCTGGAGTGCAATGGCACAATCTCAGCTCACTGCAGCATCTGCCTCCCGGGTTCAAGCAATTCTCCTGCCTCAGCCTCCTGAGTAGCTGGGATTATAGGCATGCGCCACCATGCCTGGCTAATTTTTGTATTTTTAGTAGAGATGGGGTTTCACCATGTTGGTCAGGCTGGTCTCAA